TCATCATGGTGTTTCTTCAAGGAATCCCAAACATGGAATTCTTGCTCCTCCTCCCCAACACGGAATTTCACAATTCCATTCTTCACATCAATAAGAGCGGCCGCCGTGGCCAAGAAAGATCTTCCAAGAATCACCGGAATTTCCATTTCCTCCATCTCTAGAATGAGAAAATCCACCGGAAAATAAAATTTTCCAACCTTCACAAGAACATCTTCCATTACCCCAATAGGATAACGGATGGTTCTATCCGCCAATTGGAGAGCTATAGTTGTAGGTTGAAGTTCCCCCACACCAAGTTTCTTGAATAGAGAATGTGGCATAAGGTTGATGCTAGCTCCAAGATCACAAAGGGATTTTACCTCCCCTAAGCTTCCAATAGAACAAGGAACGGTAAAGCTCCTGGGATCCTTCAATTTTTGAGGTAATTTGTTTTGAAGAATAGCACTACATTCCTCCGTGAGTGCTACGGTAGCAAAATCCGCCAACTTCTTTTTGTTGCTAAGAATATTCTTCAAAAATTTTGCATAAGAAGGGATTTCGGCAATGGCCTCGGCAAAGGGGATGTTGATGCTCAATTTGGTGAAGATGTCTAGGAACTTTTTGTATTGCTTTCCATCATCTTTCTTCTTCATCCTTTGTGGGTAAGGAATTGGTGGAACATAAGCCGTCATGAATGGTGGTGAAATATGCTCTTCTTCGCTTTGTTTTTCAATGGGCTCTTCTTCAATTGTTGGCCCTTCCATTTGTTTACCACTTCTCAAAGTGATAGCCATAACATTCTCCCTCGGGTTGACTTCCGTTGTAGTAGGAAATCTACCATGCTCCCTAGTTGTCCTTTCTTGAGCAAGTTGGCCAATTTGAACCTCCAAGTTATGAATAGAGGACTTGGTATATTGTTCAATATTGTCCATGCGTTGATTTAGCTTCCGGTTTTGATCTTCAAAACGCATGTCAAGTTTAGTGAATTGATTGTGGAGATTCCTGATGGATGCCTCCATTCTACTATGATTTTCTTCATTTTGAGTTTTGATGCTAGCAACATTTTTTGTGAGAAGCTTCATCATCTCCTCCATAGTAGACTCTTGCGATTGCCCAAATTTGGGGGCTCCGGGTTGAAGGTTTGAAGAACTCCCTTGTGCCCTATAATTGTTTCCTTGGTTGTACCTTTGTTGGTTGATGTTGGAAAAATTATTTCCACCTTGATTTGCCCGGTTACCATAGGAATTCATGTAGTTAACATCCTCAAGATGTTGAGAGGAGTTACCTTCCGTATTAGGGACACTCTCCACATTTGCCACTTGTTGAGCCCCTCCAATAACGGCTTGTAAAGCCGTATGAATTGATGCTTGTATATTTTGTTGCATTTTGGTTTGAAACTCTTCAAACCTCTTGTCAAGTTCATGAGTGATAGAGATTTCATTCACTCCCGCCACCTTGATGTCTCCTCCTTGTAGTTGAGGATTTGAAGCAATGGACTCAAGAATCCTCAAAGTTTCCGTCTCGATTTTGTTTCCAATGTACCCCTCCGCTCGGTTGTCTACAATAGCTTGACAAGATGGGTTCAAGCCATTGTAAAAAGTGTCAATTTGGAGGTCGAGAGGGATGCGGTGATGAGGGCATTCCTTCAACAAAGACTTGAAACGTCTCCATGCGTCTTGAAAAAGTTCTCCAACTTGTTATTTGAAGTTGAAGATTCGTTGTCGTAGCTCTTGCGTCATTGTGGGAGTGTAGTACTTGGAGATGAAAACATTGTATATTTCATCCCAAGTAGCATAGGATGCCGGTGTTTGCTCTAGAAACCACCCTCTTGCCGCTCCCTTCAAGGTGTAAGGGAAGCACTTGAGCCTTAGATCACCTTCACTTAGCCCATTCCTAGGCACACCTTGAATGAACCCATAAAATTCGGTAATGAAATTTAATGGATTCTCCCCCGGTTGTCCATAGAAGTGCGGCATAGCATTGAAGTAGCTATTCCGCAACTCATAGTCTCGTGCCGCCTCGCTAAGCACGATGCAAGAAGGAGTAGTTGCAATGACGGGCCTCTTCCGTTCATTGAGTGTGGGAAGCATTGTTGGTACTCTTGCTTCCTTCTCCTTCCGATTCCTTCTACAAGCTCTCTCAATCTCAAGATTGATAGGTTCAAGGTTTGTAGAGCCTTGACTTCTCAATAGCATGCACGAAGAGCTTGTCTACACAACAAAATTCAAAACAAAACCAAGTGAAATGTAAAGGGAAAATTCAGGAATTTTGTTGAACCGTATAAAACAAAACCGTTTCCCCGGCAACGGCGCCAAAAACTTGATCGGCTTAAACTTGCAAGTGTACAAGTGCCGATGTAGTAATAAAATCCGGTAAGAATACCGAGTCGAACACAAGGAAACGTTGTTTATATGATTCAAAGATTGAGAATAAAATTTGTAAAAGACTTGGTAAAAGAGTAAAGATTTTTGGTTTTTCAAGTGATAATAAAAGCAACTAAGGGTTCGGGATTACTCCTAAATGACTCCTAGCGATTAATGTATATTCTTTCACCAATTCTTATGAGTGGAATGTCGCTAAAGTATTCTAACTCCTGTTACGGCAGCGAGATTGTGATTATTTCTACGTGTGAATCCCGTCACGGTTCACATTCATCTAAAATTAACCCCATTGAAGATTAGGACATTATTACAACCACCATATTCAATTGAGGTATATTTCTATCCACAATTAGAATATGTCTAGCCTTTAAGTGCACGGTTTATAACTCAACGTTAATTGCTCAAATAAACCCAACGATATAATCATACGTTGTACACCGTAGTCATACACATTAAAATATAAAGGAAAGATCATAATAATTTGGTTGAGAACATACATCAAACACCTAGAGTGCGTAAACTTTCATCCCTAACCTTGGCTATGGAAAATTAGCTAGAACAACTCATAATGAAATTACAAGTATTGAAATGATGAAATACAATGAAATACATAAGAAGATAATACCACAACTCCAAAGCTATGGTGGATAATGGGATCCCCAAGTGTAGAACTTCTCCCAAGACCAAGGGGTTGATCTTGGAATGCTAAAATGGAAGTAAAGTGTATGGAATATGGAATAATCACTTGAGAGGGCTTCCATATGCTTAAATATTGGGTCTTCAACGGCCATTTTTGGACAAGGAAGCAAGCTCCTTAATGGGGTTTGGAGCTTCTCTCGAATGATTGTGATGACCGTTGCCTGTTTTAATCAGTGCCAGACGAAAACCGGGCGACATTCGCAAAAGCCGGGCGGCTTTTGCGCGTTTAAAATAGCCTGCCTTCGCTCCAGGGCCCGAAAACCGGGCGTCATTTACAAAAGCCGGGCGGCTTTTGTAATTTAATTCTGAACAATTCATTCGGCGACCAAAAGTCGGCCGGGTTTTACGAAAGCCGGGCGGCTTTCGTCCTTTCTTGCTCCGGATCAGTTTTTCCAGTTTTGGACGCGAAAATGAGCTTGGGGACCAAAGGCCGGCCGCCTTTGGCATAAACCGGGCGGCTTTCGTCCGTCTTGGGCCTTTTTGTGGTCTTTATTTGTTCCTCGGGATGCGTTTGGTTGACCTTTTTCCGTCGGTTTCTTCGTGTGTATTCTACCATCCTTGTATTTGATCCAATCGTTGATTTAGAACACTTCTAGCAAAACGAGGCAGATGTGTGAAGATTTTATTCTTTTTACACATGAAAGCGTTTTAAGGTGAATATATAAAACACGTTAATAAAACGCTTATCAGGTGTCAAAATTGGCTGGTAAGTAATTACGTATTGTGTTAAATTTGTTATATTTTGTTTTCCATAAAAAATAATGAAACTGTCTCCATGTTCTTCTGAATTTCAGGGTGCTGGTTGTGGTTTTTTCATGTGGAAGGATTCAGATTCGGCTGAAAGAAAAGCGCCACTTGTTGGTACATTGATGAAGACGAATACAGATGATATGAAGGCCTTGGTTTCTGGGATTGCTGAACACATATGTGCTGTTGAAGAAAAACTTGGATGTGTTGTAAAGGTTGTTGAAAAAGAAGCACAAGATAACAAAAGATTTAGGCAGATGTGTGGTTTAGTTTTCATTGTAGTTGTTTGTTTTCTTGGTATTCTGTATATGAATGTCAACAAGAGTAGGTACATGTACTAGGAATTTAGAAGTATTTGAGCAAGTGATGTTGTTTGTAGTCTGCTTTCATTTGCAGAGGTAATGTTAACATGATCCTTGTTGGGACATATTTATTCAATTGAGTTTAAAGTGATGGCATTAGAATTTATTTTTATCTGTGTAATTGTGCACGCTTAACACTACTCTGAATGTAGTTGCAGAAGTAATTTTCACCTAGCTCTGAATTTTAACATTTAAAATGAATTGATTTGTGCAAAATTTGACCACAACTTCTCTTTAATACCATAACTTTAAGGCTTAGGAGAGAGTGAAAAATTCTTCCTATCTGCTTGTCTTTACAATTGCTCTGAGTGTCAACATTGTTCTTATATAATGCATTTGGAATCTACTTCAATAATTGAATAGTTGTGTAAACGGGAAAAGGACATTATATAGTTGGATGTTAATAGTTGGATTCAAAATTGTTCTACTTTAAGTATTTGTAAAACTAAATCATTTAGGTAAAAGTAAATGTGATGTTCTGTATAATACTTGGATGTTAATAGTTGGATGCAAAACTTAATCATTTATACATTTGTCATTTTGTGTGGTAAAACCAAAGACAAGAGTTTAAGGAAATAACACAGCTTTGTTTCCTCTTTCCATAGCATTTCATGAGACCCATACAGACCCATGAGGTTTAAGTCTTTTAGACTGAAATCATACATTCTGTATAAAATTGGAACTTCATACTTGGATGCAAAATGACTCACCAAGCAAGAAACATAATTGAATACACTTTGAAAGGACCAAAAAGTAGTTTATATTAAAGGTCAAGTGAGCACAGTACATCCCAAAAGTTTTGACAGCTTTCAAATGTTTAAAGCATTACATCCGGGCCACACCAAGGCCAAATTTCAGCCCCACAGATTCCCCTTACTTTACAGCCAACATCAACAACAAAAAAAAGGCAAAAGCATTGCAGTCATTCGTACAACCAAATGGCTTTAAAGGCTACCACCAACCATACAAAAGTTATCCACCAAAACAACCACAAATTCACACCTAACTATATCATTACACAGACCACATTTCTCTTCCATGCTACATGTTCAACATCTCACTTCCTTCTTCCAACTGCATCTCAGTTAAGCACTCTTTCACTCGGTTGTCCAGGCTGCAGAGGGGTAAAAAAAATATTAATTTCTATAATCATTGTATTACCATGAAAGAGTATTATCAGTACTAAATGTTATTATCATTGTATAATAACACCTAATGTTAAATGTGAATTGCAGTATGGAGGTTCTTAACTTACATCAATGAGGGTTTCACCAGTGTTCTCATCAAAATAGACACCAAAACCTCTTTGTACACTTCCCCTTTGTGCTTTCCCTCCACCCCTTGAGCCTCTCCTTCCCCTTTGTGTTTTCCCTTTACCTTGACCTTGGCCATGTCCTCTTTGTCCTCTTGCAGCAGGACCTTCAGTTTCCCCCTCTACACCACTGGACACTCCTTGAGTAGATCCAGCCTCAGTTGAGGTAGTTGTGTTCTTGTTGGGACAAGAAGACTTGTTGTGTCCTTCCCCTGCACATATGGAGCATTTCATAATCCTACCTTTTCTGGAAAGTTGAGTACCAGATGAGGGCACTTCATTAGCTTCCCGGATCCTCTTCTTCTTTGGCCTTCCACTCATCTTCTTAGGCTTTGGAGGCAAGATTTCTTCATGCTCAGTACGTGGCCATAACAGCTCTCCATTGATAGGTGGAAGAGTGTATGCATAAGTTTTCTGGTATAACTCTTTCGAATAGCACTTATCCACATATTGTTCAGGATCCTGGCCATTGTCAAATATAGCACAAATGGCATGCGCACAAGGTATTCCAGACAAATCCCACCTTCTACATGAACATGTTTTTGCTTTTAGACTGACTTTAAACTGGTGCCTTCTTTTTTTATCTCATACCCATCATCCCCATTGAAATCAACATTCCACCCTTGGCTAGCTAAGATGCTTTTGTTTAATTTTTGCATAATAATAGGTCCAAATTGTCCTGCATAATTATATTGTAATTATTCTGAAGTCATTTCAAGTATAGTTTTGGTAAGTGAATGTAGTACATGTTATACCTGACCACTTCTGCACATACTTCCTTTTTTTGGCAATCCTTTTCATCATTGCAACTCTCATGTGCTCTAACATGGGAATAAGCGGTTTTGCTCTGCATTTCAAAAGGGTGCTATTAAACGCCTCTGATAAGTTGTTCTCCACAGTGTCACATTTCACCTCAGGCCTAAAATAAGCCTTGCACCATAGCTTGAAAGGATGTTTACGCAGGTCCCTACCAGCCTCGATGTCTGCTTTATCTAACTCTGATAATGAAGCCTGCAGTTGTTCTTCACAGGTGGACTTTGCACACATCCAGAATAGCTTTTTAAGAAGCATGCCCCTATGAGTTTTGCTCCAATTTGCATGGATATGTCTGGCACAATTCCTGTGCTCAGCCCCCGGGAATACACTTGCTATGACATTAGAAAGACCCTGCAGTAAGAATATTTTAATAAGCTTAACCAAATTGATTTCATAAGCATACTTGTCGTTTATAAGTTTTGCAGTCAGGTTATTTCAAAATGAAATGATAAGCAAGTTACAACATATTTTGCAATTATTTCAATGTACTTGCTATTGTTAAGCATTTTTTTGTTATTTAAATATAAAATGATACTAATGCAATGAAGTCTTAATATAGGCCCTTAACATAAATGGAAGTTCTGCATATTAATGGGATCTGGGAATAAACTGTGAAAGTTATACAGTCATCCAAATGTATTCAGACTTCATCCTAATCTAAAGTATGAAAGTTGTTCAAATTAAACATTTCTTTTGAAGTTATAAAGTCTGAAAAAGAGTACCTAAGAACTTTAATAACTTGGTAGATCAAATTTAGAGTACTTAAGAACTTTAATAAGCAGGCAGATCAAATTCAGAAGTAACAAATTTAACTTTAATTTGAAAGTATCACAAATGTAGATGGAAAACAGAATTAATAACAGAACTTCAGAATTTTAGTGAATTACCTTTTGTTGGTCACTAATTATAGTCCATAAATCTGGCCTGCTTATGTGCAGATCTGTCTTCAGAAGGTCTAAAAACCAGGTCCAAGAAGAGGTGTTTTCGATCTCCACTACCGCCCAAGCGATGGGGTACATCTGATTATTTCCATCTCTACCAACTGCTGTTAAGATCTCCCCCTTTAGTAGTCCTTTAAGAAAGCACCCATCTAGGCCTATAACCTTTCTACATCCTTCAAGAAAACCTCTTTTAACAGGTCCAAAGCACACATATATGCGTTGAAATACAGCAGGAGCTTGAGGAACTACTCGTGTAGTATGAATCACCACTGTGCTATCTGGAATAGACTTTAGGCATTCCTCACCATAGTTCCTAATTTTTTTGAATTGGTCCTTCCAATCTGTTTCAGTTTTCTTATGAATATCCCTCAAAGCCCTAGTCGCCATACTTGTTGAGACATGTATTTTCAGCTCAGTTTTAATTAGTTTCTTGAACTCCAATGCAGTCATAGTAGGGTCCTCAACAACCTTGTCTTCAAACCTTTCAGCAATCCATTTCTGGCTCACAATGCCTAACCTATACTTCAAATTACATTTGTGCCCTAGATCCAACACCTTCACTTGGAAGCATTTCAGCCTCTCTTCCCAACTGCCAGTGCATGCAAAAGAACATGTAGGGGCACATTTGTACTGCACTCTTAAAGGCTCATTTTTTGCAAATTTAATATCCCTTTTCTCGTGCACAGCATATCTAACAAGAGCACTCTTGAATTGTGCACCATCTTCAAAATACATGCCCACCTCTATGTTAGGAGGTTCACAATCAGGGTTGTACGAATGAAACACTTTTGGAGTCCCTTCCTCACTTTGTAAATCACCATTGTAGCTTGGTGGATTGGATGAGTCATATTCAACACTGTCTTCATCTTCTGAAGTTTCATTATGTGTGTTCTGTTCATGGCCATGCCTATCTTGATGTTCTTTGTCTTCACCATCATCTTGTATAGTATCTTCAGTTTCTTCCTCGGATGCTTCACCATCTCCATCACTTTCAGTTTCAATATTATCATTACCATCACCATGAACATTTGCATCACCCTCATCTGCACCTGGCACAGGTAAAACAGGGATTTCAAGGATTTCAGGCTCATCCAGACCATGGTGCGCATAAATCTCACACTTTCCACACCTGCTAGCCATTTCAATTAGATGTAGGGTGGATTCATCATTGAACAAGGGACGTAGCAACTCCATTGGTTCTTCAGGTCTTTTGAAAAACAGTTCACTTATATTGCCATATGTTCCTGATTGTAAGGACTTCATCAAATGAGGGAAGCTAATGAAATCCGGATCCACCTTGATGATATCCACTGCACCACCTACGTACATGGAATGAGGACTACTCACAAAGTTCCCTCCATGGTGAATTACAAGCTCCACAAATTCAAACATGCTGTACACAAAAGCACACATCAGTGTATAGCAAAAGAAATTAATTTATTACACACACCACTGAAACGGCTACCAAGTGCTAAAGCATAAACAACTAAATGGATATTGATTGTTATTACACCAACGATGCACACACAAACACTCTTAAATAACCAACGCTCAAACACTCTTCGTAATACAAAAATCCCATTCACACTTACCTGACAGTAGTTATTTGAACTGCTCAAATGGATATTGGTTGCGGTTCACTTGTCAATGGCGTCCAGTAAGTCAATGACCACCAGCAAACCCTTCAACGATGAGGTCAACTGCGTCTTCATTCGCGAGATTTCAACATTAGGGTACAGAAATTTTCAACGTTAAGGAATGGAAGGGGTGAAAGTATGTATACAAATAATCCGGGTGGATTACTCTGCCAGCTTTAAAAAAAATCCACGTAAGAAGCCAAGTAGGCTTTTCACAGGCTTACCGGTTGGTGACCTCCAAAAAAGGCCAATTGGTCGGTTTTTGTGACTTCGTGGGCTTAAATGATCGATGTTGGAGTTCATGGGTCTAATTGACTTACCGTACAGAGGAGGTGGGCTTATTTGACAGTTTTCCCTAAAACTTCACTCCTTATCCTAAGGCGGGGTTTCAATTTTGACAAAGACCTCCCGCCAAAACTTAACAGTATATATGCAATTATACGGAGTATATATACAATCTTGTGGATGATGTCAATATACTATGTCTAGCATCGCCTACTTTTCATTTCAAACCAGCAATTAGGGTTCCGTTCATAAGGTCCCTCTGGATAAAGTAAGTTACTCCATCCCTGTTTTTAGGGTTACGATTCTTACACAGGAGATTGGAAGGAAGGATGAGCGTCGTCAATCTTACCAACGTGTCGGTTTTAGACAATCCTGCACCTTTTCTGAATCCATTCCAGTTTGAGATTTCTTATGAATGCCTCACTTCCCTGAAAGATGGTATTTTTCTTGTTTCTATTTAATTTGTCTATAAGAGTTTGAAAATAGAAAAGTGTTGTGTTCCTGCTCTGACTTTGTATTTAAAATTGAACACACTTAAACAGACTAGACTCAATCAAACCAATAAGCAAACCACACTGAGGAAGAGTTTATAGATGGTATTAGACAAGGCTTTGGATTAATCTTGACATACTCTGTTTTTTCTTTACATATTTTATGAAATAAGGATGATAAAAACTCTGTAAGACCTAATAACTATGTAAACTGTTTTTTTTTTATTTATTAAAAAAAACACTTCAGAAACATAAATGCAGTTTCCTTGCAGCAGAAAAGAGTCAAACTTAAGTTCATCTTGAACACCTATTATTGATTTCATGTTCTTACATGTTTGCAAAACTCCAAAGTTGCATCTCAATGCTTGCTATTGCTAGGAACATTTGTAAACTATGATCAACAAGAAAAAAAATCTACTAAGATGGCAGACATTATACAGTAGTGAGTGAGGTCGTCTAGATATTTTTGATGGTTTTATTTCAAATTCATATTGTTGGCTTAATCTGGCTCTTTTATATCAAACTGTAATGCTATATATTTTGTATAGATAGGTTGTAACACACATTCGTGAGGGTCCACTATTCTTGGATACTTGTTTGGTATCACTTTATTTTGTTTTGTATAATACAGATTTGGAGTGGAAGTTGATTTATGTTGGGTCTGCAGAGGATGAAACTTATGACCAGCTCTTAGAGAGTGTTTTAGTTGGACCTGTGAATGTCGGCAAATACAGGTTTCTGCTTCAGGTAACTAGTTTATAATTTGTTCAACAAGGTTTTTTGTTCACACAGACAATATTTTTTTAGATGTCTTGGTGTATTCATGTGAAGATGTCTTTTAGATTATTTTTGTTTTTACAGACAAGTTATACCAATTTTTTTTTTGTTTGTGCGAACAAAAATCTCTTTTTTCATGAACTGAATACCTTGGTGTATAATTTGGTATGCCAAGCATTACCCATTTGGATTTGCTGACTGGGTTCAACATACCTGGAATACTTTCATTCACAGGCAGATCCTCCAGACCCGTCAAAAATTCGTGAAGAAGATATTATTGGTGTGACAGTATTGTTGTTAACATGTTCTTATGTCGGACAAGAATTTATTCGAGTAGGATACTATGTCAACAATGACTATGGTGATGAACAACTACGAGAGGAGCCTCCTCAAAAGGTTTTGATTGATAGAGTCCAGAGAAACATTCTGGCTGACAAACCTAGAGTGACAAAGTTCCCTATTAATTTTAATCCAGAGAACACTGAAAATGTTGAACAACAGGGTACTACAGAAATTAGTGTGCATGCAGGAGAAATGGTTTCTTGTACTGACCATCCCTCTGATATCCAGCCTTCATAAATTTTGAATACCAATGCCAGCTATTCAGAAACTCATGTTATTCAGAATAGAGGAAACTGACTTTCAATCTGTATGAGTTGTTAAAGGTTGTATTACAAGTTAGTAAGTTATTTTAATCTGTAGACTTGATAGAAGTCGTAGAACTATGTATTGTAATTGTAATTGTGCCCATCTTTTATGTTGTGTTGGAATTTTCTCTGAATGTTCATTCTTTTTAGCCAAGAGAAGAAAAATTGTGGTCTTATTAAACTGAACTTGGGCACGATCCATTTTAGAATGAACTTCATATGTCACTTGTTTATTGGAAATCTTTAGCGGAACACTTAGATAATTGAAAATTAAAATTAAAAATAATGCAAGTTTAAGGATGTTTTTACTTGGACTGAAATTTTCTGATTTGGTTTGAACTAGTTTGGTAATTGTCTAGTTTCTGTGTATTTTATAACTATTGAAGTCTGGTGTGGTTTGGTGTGGTTTGTTATGGTCTGTAAAAAGTTCAAGTAAAAACATCCTAATTTTTAGTGCTTTTTTAATTATGCTCAGTTTAAAAATAATTCTTTTTTAACATTGAAGTAAGCGATAAAATTAGTACTTTAAATATAAGGGTACTGATGTTTTTTTAGCATAGTGGCAGTTATTGATGGATTATAAATAATAAAAGGGTCTATTTGATCTTTTTCCTTTTTTAAAAAAAAAATGTCTTCTATTATCCACGTTTATGTATTAGAATGACCTTAAAGTAAATTAGAAAATCAAGAGATTATTCTTCAAGTAGTTTTATGAAATTTTAGTTATCATTTTGAAAAATATTTTGAAAAATATTTGGATACCCATCATTTTTCTGATATTTGTTTGCAATTGATAGATGAATAAGAGTAAAAACAATGACCTTAAATAGGAGATAAAACAATGTGATTTTCCTATATAAGAGTACCATTTTTTTCCTAAATAGAAGTAATTTGGCACTGTTCAAAGCTACAAAATGAGACTTAAACATCTGCAAAGCTTTAACCTGTGAGAGATAAGCAAGTGAGGTTCCCTAAACATGTATGTGTGTGTGATCTAACCTAATAAGTTAAAACGGAATAAAGCCTATACAATTATCATAACACGCACCTAAATGGGCATTTACAACATAATGGCTATCAAAACATCTCAGGTAAATTAAAGAATTAGACACCAATATGAGAATTGATGGCTGCTTTCTGGTAAACCACTTCCATGACAACAAGACTACTCCAGTGGCTTCATTGCTGCTTTCTCCTAACCAATTGCCATGCCCATGCGGACAAGAACACCACAAGGCCAATCCCGAAGGAAGTCCAAAAAATAATTAACCATTTTGGCATGGGGGCAGGAAACAATCCTGAATAGTTTAAAAACAAGACAAATGTTAGAGGTTAAACTTCTACTTGCTCCACTTCCTTTCACTTTTGGCAAGTTCATCTACATTTTCTTCTATAAAAGACATGAACACACTATTTTTCCATTTTATTTTTTCAACTTCTCTTACTTTTCTAAACTTCTGCTCTACTCTTTCATGCACTATTTGCTTCCTCTGCAACTTTTCTTTTAGATAGCCTGAAAGCCTATGCCTATACCAAACTAAAAGTGAACGGAAGATGTAAATGAACATGCTAGCTGTTAAGTATTATAAGGAAATGGAGAAAGCACTCACCATGCCCAAACTTAATGCATATTAGAAGTTCAACTATGCAGATGGCAAGTGAAAGCCAACAGAATGGTCCCACCTTTTTTACCAGTTTTCTGAAAATTTATAGCAGCAAAGAGATACCAGGGAGGTGAGTGTGGACACAAATATCGGTTTATGGTAACGTAACCTTTGTGGTGAAGGAACTTACCTGTCATTTAGGTAACAATTGTACTCACGAACGGTAGGTATCGCAATCAGCCACCATAAAATTAATCTACATATTATGAAAGGGTTTCTTGGAGGAATCCAAAGACAGAACTTGAGGAAGAATGTGTTCAACTCTACTGTCAAGAAAACAACACAGAGAGTGAGAACTTGAACAAAACGCCAAGGGCCCAGAAGTGGATGCCATTCATCTTTATCCCAATGTGCTGGAGTGAATTGACCAAGTGTTCTCTTCACCTAAAACATAAAAAACGTATGCAGCATTTTATAAAAAAAAAATATCCATAGCTTGACAGTTAAGGCTACAAGTAATGTAGTTTTCTAATGCTAGAAGTAAAATTTAAAGGCTAAAAGGGCATCTTTTGATTCTATCTAGAATCAATCACTATTTATTTGAAATCTCACAACTTTAATTTTAAAGTTCTGGTTAACACATCCTTCACCTCTTTACAATAGTATAATCTCACTCGGGGGAAACTAGAAAATGGTGAAGAATGGAGTAGGAGAGACACCTAGACGGTGTAAATAATGAAATATGGCAATGAAAAGACATGGGAAAGGGAAGGAATGGAAAACAGTTTGTCAATAATAATACAGTAGGAGAGATTCTCAGTTTTCAGCACCAAGACATTAACACTTAAAATAGGGAAACATAATGATAAACACACAGAATCATTACATTTATCAACACACAGAAGGAACATACAGACTACAGACACACAGTAGAAGGAAAATATACTTTGCCAATAATATTTGGTTGTCGGCTGATACCAACCCACTCATATGTTCTACCATCAAAATAACGAACAGTGCGCATTCCAGCCCAAATACCTATAGAGCACACATAAAAAAAACTTTAAGTTACATCCATTCACCATTACAAGTTGTGCATACGAATGCATGTAAACACCATATAGCTACACATACTATTCCATGACATAATAAATATGCCATTAATCAATAGTGAGCATGTCATATAGGTTTTGGAATATGTCTGTCTTGATGCTAAACAGCTTCTCAATCAAAGATCACCTCCATTGCGCACTCTTTTATAACAAATATCCATATTATAAAATTGGACTATGCTAAACTAATCTGCCTTGTAATAATAATTCTAAAGAAGCTGGGACAAAGTATTATTTACAAATATCCATATTATAAAATTGGACTAGAGACTTCTAGTGCACCTGTCAGATATCATCTCTCTAGAAAATTAATTAATAAAGTTGGTATAACATTAATAATCTAGCCTTCTTTCACATTCCTCACTCCGTAGAGTTTAGGTGCATATATTCTCGGATTAGTTCACATTCATATATCCAACAACACCAACATCCAAGCCTTATTCCCAAGGAGTTTGGGATCTGGTATCATGAATCCCTTACATAAATCCAAGAAAGTAGATATGGAAGACATTAAGATTCATACCAAACCAATTGCAGAGTAAAATATCAAGAATAATGCTGTCCCACCAGCACTCATTGAAATTTGGTAGCATATGCCGGAAGGTGAGCTGCAAGGATAGGAACAACAACACATGTTCAGGGTATTAACAATAATCTCCAGAGCACTCCAATAAGAGTGATTAACAGGGTTCCAGCAAAAGGAAAGTTGGAAAGACATCTACCTCCATTGACTCAAACCCAATTGATAACACCCATAGAAGAGGTTGATTACGAATCATGATGGCTTTCCCCCACCACCCAAGAACATGAGCCAGAACAAACTCATCAAACACAGTATCCTGTGAAATAATAAAATGAATCACTCGGTGCTTAAAAGATTTTTATTTTAAAGGGTGAACCAAAAGATGGGGAAAACTGGAGTCAAACAAGAATCCAAAAAAGAATATACAGGATTGTGGAAGTAGAAACCATACATAAACATTCTTAAACCTGTTCGTGGGATTTTCAGGTACATAGATTCTGCAATCAGCACCATAGGATCTTTCAGGTAGTTCTGCACAAGTAATAATTGAACTTAAGCATCACTAGAAACCACTTGCCTAGATAATCAAAAGCCAAATAACATGGACTGCCGAGGCAAATGAGCTGATCCATGTCTAAATGCTGGAGAACAATCCCAAATTTGTTACCAACACCAAGATCAGGATCCAGATACTTCATAAACTGGCGAGCATCATCACGATTCTGAAATAACAATAATAAAAGATAAGAGATAACAAAATAGGAAGTTGGAAAACAAAATAAAATAATTAAGGAAAAATATAACACATTTTTACCAATAAACTTACCTGAAAAAGCAAAAATGTTAATGAAACAAGGTAAATGACAGCCATTCCATGAACTAGGCGCCAAATGGCAGGATGTGGCCTAATAAGAATCCTGCAATGAGAAAGATCTCAGAAATTCAAGGCTGCATATAGCAAATAAATCCTTAAACTCATAGTGTATGAGAAACCCAGAATACAAAAGCTGGTACCTTCTTCAGCCACACTACCTATGGCTTACTCACTAAGATTAATATGTCTAAACTCTAAAGCAATGTTATTGAACAATGCAACCAAAGAGAGTATTTCTCATTTAAAGCTATGGCTATCAACTCACGTTGTAGGGGCTTGTAATAAAGAATAAGCAAGATACACTGTGACCATTGCCCAAACACCCCTAGCACAAGCACAAACAACACAAGTTATGAAACTTTCTAGATATATAATCTGGGAAAACAGACAGAAAATGTTATAATAACAGCATAAAGTGAATGGATGCACCTTTTCACAGATGTAACTAGATCACTAGTTGAGGTTTGTTCTGGATCCAGAGCTCCACTTACCCAACTGAATGTAAGCACAAAAGTTAGAGGGTAATTAAAATACAATCAAGCCCTTACAGGCAATGTACCATGCATATGCAACGAAAAGAAGATGATGAAATGATCACTAAATGTGAGTGTCTTCTTCCAAAACATTTAGGGGCAGTGGATTAGACCGTAGCCCAAATTCAACTTTCAAGAGAAGCACATAATTGAACGATGACATACACGTGAATATATATATATATATATATATATATATATATATATATATATATATATATACTTGTTCCTAACTGTTACATGCACAACTAGCTGACTAGGGAAAAATAGAATAAAATAAGTACAGGCCAGATATCACAAGACATGCTCATAAAAATGTAAATGGTCTTTATTAATCTATAAAAGCAGCAGCAACCACAATCACAATAAAATGCTGCAAGTAACATATTAACTATAGCTTCAAGAGTGTGACAGAACAGCTATTTTGATCAAGAATGCACTAGTATATTACTAACCATGTGTGTAAGAGAGTATGACAAGCAAGACCAGAAAACTTCATATACCACAAAAGTGAAAACGGCAACTAGAATAGATAATTACAAATGCC